CATCCATCCATCCATCCATCCATCCATCCATCCATCCATCCATCCATCTAACCATCCATCCCTACTGATCTGCCCATCCATCATTCTTTTAATTCTTCTACCTAATCACCCACCTGCCCATTTATTTATTATTAATTCTCCTACATAAACACTTATCCAACCATCCATGCTCCCATCTACTCACCCACTCACCTGTTTATCCATTTTCCCCATCCATCTATCCATCCATGAATCTACCCACTCACCCTCCCATCCCATTACATCCACTCATTTCCATCTATGTGCCCCCCTTTTCATCTAACAACATTTTCTCAGCATTTGACATTGTGCTAGGATCAATGGACTTTGGAATGTGTAAGCCGACACTCTGGGCTACCCAGGAGTTCATTATCTAATTAATCACAGAGTGACAAGTGTTTTGATGAAGGGAACCTCAGAGAGCACACCTTATTGAGTCACAGGAGATGTTTGGTAGGATGGTTTGGGGAAGATTTCAGTAATTCTAACCTTGACTTTTATTTTGTAGATTGGTGAGCTGCCCCCACAAACCACTGAGACACTGGCTGGCTTCATCCCTGAAGTGAGTGCCCCACTACCTAAGATCACTATGTCCTGCCCTGCCCTGTTTTCCAGTCAAAGGGACAAAGGACTTGAGAGGCAGTTTTTCAATGCCACATCTTCCTTGTCCAATGTGGAATCATCCCAACTTCCCCATAAAGTACCCTTTGGGTCCAGCACAGAAACACCTCAGCATTTGTGCATTGTACTTTCCATGTCCAATATAGAAATAGCCAGATTGTCTGTTTTGTTCCTTATATTTCCTCATAGACACATCCCAGCCTTTTCGTGTCATATTTCCTGTGCCCAAGGTAGACTCACCCATTTTATGATGAGCTCCTGGTTTCAACTGAAACCACCAGTCTGAGGGTTGGACCTGAGGGGAGTTTCCTGGTTTCTGTAGGTGGCTGAGGCCTATCCCAAGCCGAAGCCCTTGGTGACTCAGATCAGAATAAATAAGCCCCCCAAGGTCACCATGAAGACAGGCAAGAGCCTGCTGCACTTCCATGGCACCCTGGAGATGTTCGCTGCTCGACGGCGGGGCAAAACTCCTGTGTCTCTCTTTCTCCTGGAAGTTGTGAGTGGAATCTCTTCCCCATTTAGGCTTAACCTCTTGAAAGGTAGGGTTTTAGTTGATAGACAAGTAATAGATTGAAAGGTTCTTAGTTAATCTCAGTTGTGTGGTTCTAACCTCCCAGACTTTGTCACCTGATGTCTGATCCTTGGCTCTGCCATTGAACCTTTGAATGTCTAGAAAGATCAACAAACTGGGGGTCAATAGTTTAGTCCTTCTTTTTCCCTCCCTCCTTCCTTCCTTCCCTCCCTCCCTCCCTCCCTCCTCTCCTTCCTCCCTTCCTTCCTCCCTCCAAAATTCATTAGCATCTATAAGGACAGTAAAGGGCTCAGCCAGGAGACTCTGGCAACCTAGAGAGATCCCAAATTTAGTTTGAGGAAATCACAGAGGACTTCCCAGAGGAAGTGATGCCTGAGCTATGTTTTGAAGGTTGAACAAGAACTGGCCAGGCAAGGGGTTGATGTTGGGGAGACTGGTGATGCAAGGTCCTCCAGGCAGAGGTTACAGGGTGTGCAAAGGCCTAGAGCAATAACATGGTGAGTGCAGGAATCTACAAACATGCCAGGTACAGGGAGGGGTGAGGAGCCTGGGCTGGGGTCATGGGGAGACTGCTAGGTTCAGTTCCTGAAAGTGGGATGGTCAGAGAGGAAGACCTCTGCTGTCTTGGCAGTGGTGGTGCTGCTGGGAAGATGGTAAAGCCTCTGGTTTTACCAGTCCTGAAGGGGGGTCCACTGCTTTCTCCCTGTTTCCCCCCACACCAGCACTTTAACCTGAAAATCCAGTACTCAGTGCATGAGGACCGGCTACAGATGGCTACCTCTCTGGGCAGGTAGGAGTCGGCTGCCCACACTGGCATCCCTGTACCCCTGAATGAGCATTACCAACACCATTTGTTCTCTTGCCACAGGGTCTCTCCCTAATCCATCCAGCACAGCCCACAACACTGCCAGGCTGCTCTGGTTACTATTCCTGCTCTAAACCCTTAATCGTTTCCCATCGTCTACATGATCTTTTCTCAAATCTTAGCCTGGCACTCAAGGCTCTTCTCAAATTCTCCCACCACTGCTCCCACGATTCCACTAGGATCTTGCACAGCGAATCTGATTGTGGGCCCATGAGTTTTTTTTCCATTTAAAAGGACTTTGCCCATGCTGTCCAAATGCCGCCTATCAGTGGCCAGCTCAAACGATACCTCCTCCAGAAGGCTTTTTTTTTTTTTTGAGAATTTTTACAAAAATTTATTTGAGCCAAACAGAGGATACACCTGGAAGAAAGACCTCAACAGACTAACAGAAATGCTTCCCAGCAGCCTTTCTTTATGCTAATAACAACTAACATTTATAGAACTCTGTCTATATGTGAGGCACTGGCTACCTACATTATATTCATTATCGCACTTCGCCATCCTAGCTTTTACCTTCAGTTGCTCATTACTTTTTGTATTTGCCTTAATCTTTGATCTGACTCATATTAGGCCAGGATTCTTTCAGTAGCAAGAGACAATTCCAACTTGAACTAACTTAAGCCCCAAAGGGAATCTTTTGGCTCAATTAATTGAAAATTCTAGAGATAGACTTGCTTTTGGGCATGACTGGATCTAGGTATGCAAATGAAGCCTTCGAGAATCTCTCTCTCTCTTCCTTTGGCCTTTGCTAGCCACTTTGTTGACTAAATTCTCAAGTAGCCTCTCCCCAGGTGGTGGCAAAGTGACCCCCAAACAACAGAGGCCTTTTTTCCAATGGTTCTAATAAAATTACCAAAACTGCTTCTCATTGGTCTGTCATGGATCACACGACCAACCCTAAGCCAATTACTGTGACTTGAAAGATGGAATGCTCTGACTGGCCAGGCCTGGGTCATGTGCTCACCCTGGGACTTTGGTTTAGCCCCACCTGAATACTTTGGGCTGAGAGTGGAAAATGGAGGGTCTGTTACTAGAATAGAGAATAGATGTTGGGAAGATAAAGCCACCAGATGACCATCACATGGCCTGTTCTGGTGCCAACAAGGATTAGTGCCTACTGGAGACTGTGGAGGGGATGGGGCTGGGTGAGGAATCCTAACTCTGTCGTGCAAGAATCTGGAATTTACTGCAAATCTCTGCGTATCTCTGCATACCTGGCCTTAGGCAGGAGCAATAGATATGGCAGAGGGAAGAGTCAGGGCCAACGGAGGAGGCAGTAGTGTGGGCCGTGGAAAACAGAATGGGCTGGCTGTAATGAAAGGTGGTGAGTGCCTCATCAAAGGTAGCATGCAAGCAGAGACTTATGAACACCAAGTCGGAAGGTGTAGAGGGGACTTCTGCATCAGAGAGGGCTTGGGGTGTTTGAGATCCCCTTTCTCCAGGACCAGGGGCAGCGGCTCTGACTGCCCTTCCACTCCTTGTTTTCCTCTGTCCCACAGATTACTGAGCCTGGCCCGGGAGTCCTCATCAATTGGTGCCTTCGATGTAAGTGTCCCAAGTGTTTCCGCCTGGTCTGGTAAGACTGGGCTTATTGTCTCTTGGGACTGCTGAGAAGGGCCCTGAAATGGAGGCAGAGTACATAGAGCAGGTCATTGTGGGGTTTGGAGCTCCTGACTTGCTGTCTGACCTTGGAAAAGTCACCTAGCCTCTCTGAGTCCCTGTTCCCTTTTCTGGATAGAATCTGGACATCTCCTTAGATTGATTTTAGAAACATTGTCCTGCATAGCAGCAGCCTGAGCTGGCTTGGTTGGCCCAGCTGTCATTTTTATTAGTCTCTGTAGCCTCAGGGCCCAGTATAGAACCTGACCCAATGGGTGCTAGCAGCAACTACAACATGTACTGAGCACTTGCTCTGTGGTACATGCCTTATCCAAACTCATTGAATCCTCACAGCAACCTGTGAGTAGGTGCTGTTATGTTCCACTTTCGCAGATGAGGAAACTGAAGTAAAGAGAAGCAGTGAAACAAAGGTACTGAGTTTTCTGTAGGACCATGAAAGGTGCCCACAAGCCACCCAGTGTCTCCTGAATTCCCCCAGGCCTGCACCATGACTCAAGGCCCTCATGTCACCCTAACGGACAAAGCAGAGGTGAAGGGCATCAACTTACAGCCAGACAGGGATCGGGCCTAGTTTCTATGCTAGCTGAACAAATTATTTGATGTCTCTAATATTCCTCCCTATAGTCCCCAGATCCAGTTGGAGTGAGAGCTGAAAAAAAATCTGTCGACTTGAATTGAATGATGGGATGTGGGTATCTTCTCTCTCTCCCCCAGGAGAAGGAATTGACTGGCTTCATCGCTGATTTTCTCCGAGAAGCTTACATCCCAGCCGTCAACGGTGAGGGAGCCAATAGGCTTTGACTTTGCTGTTGCCAAGGAGTACTCTAAGCAGGAAGGGATGCTACCTGATTGGTCTCAAAGCCCCTCCACTGACCCCAGAAGGGGGAGGCTAACAGGGAGAGGATGGCCTTTGCTGAATCTTTGAGGCTAATGTCCACTGAATATCACCTGTCTAGGGACAAAGGCCCCTGTCACAATTGAGATCCTTGACCCTTGACCCCACACCATGCGTCTGATCCTGACACAGACCTGGGATGTAAATACTTGGTGATCTGGCCGATGCTGTCTATGCCTGCTCAGCTGGCAGACCTCATGAATCAATCACTGCACTATTGCCCATTATTCTGCTCCAGGCAGCCACACCTTACTCAATTTAGAGCAGTCAGGCTGAAATGACTCTTCATGTATTTCTCAGATGTGCTCCAAGTCGGCCTCCCACTTCCGAACTTCCTGGACATGAATTACAACCTGGCAGAGCTGGACATAGTAGAGGTGAGGAAAGGAGCTGGGGAAAGCCATGTTAGTCAACACTTTTGGCAGATGAGTGAAGAGCAAAAGCCTGCCTCTCTCAACCTGGAGGGAGTCGGGCTGAGGAGGGCAGTGGCCGTCAGTACAATCCTTCCAATTCCTTCGGCAATACCCCACCCCTCAGACCCTGCAGTCCCACCCTTGGCCAGGGCATCCCCAGAGGGAAACATGAATTCTGCTACTCTCTTTCCCTGCCACCTCGGGCAAAGTACTTTACTTTTTTCTATGCCTCTATTTTTCTGTGCTAAACATGGGGGTGATACTATGGGTACCCACCTCAGAGAGCTGTTCTGATGATTCATTGAGATAATTCACCTAAACATATACAGGAAATGGTCAATAAATATTAGCTTTACATTGCATGCCAACCATTGCGCTTGGAGCACTAAATGTGCATTTGCTCTTTTGATCTCTTCACTCTGGGAGGTAGAGGTGTTTGTCCCCACTTGACTATTGAGAAAATTGAGGCTCAGAGAGGTGAAGGGTCACAGGTGAGCCTAGTTCATCCTCTGTTGTTAAACACCATGCTGGCTTCCATTTTCGGCCCGGGCTCTGGTCCATTCCACCCTGTGCCTGAGTGGCCCCGTCATCGCTCTCTCTACCCCGACTTGATATTTTGCCTCCTGCCAGAACGCCCTGGTGCTGGACTTGAAGCTGGACTGATTGGGACAGGATTCGCCTGCCAGCTGCCTACACACCACCAACTGGCTGCACCCCGTGGAAGAGCCTCTGATCGGAGCTGGTGGGCTGGGCCCCCTACCACAGCTCGCTGCTTCCTTTGACGAGGAGTGAACAGGGCAGGCCTGCGCTGGGGACTTGGCAATAAAAAAGAGAAAGGCCCACACAAACATCTAATGTTTTGACCTCGTTATTTGTAGCAAATCCGCATGCAGCTTTTCTTCTCCTTTGGTGGGTTTTGGGGTCTAAGACAATCTTGGGGTCTGAGGGAAGCTAGTCACAGCTTGGGGCAGGCTTGAGCATATATTGAGTGCCTGCCGAATTGCATACTCAGGGCTTTACTTGTACTATCTCATTTAATACACACACTAACCCTGGTAGGGGAGGCCACCATCGCCATCCTCATTTTACAGGTGAGGAAATTGGGGCACAGTGAGATCAGCTGCCTTGCCCAAAGTCACACGGTTTCATAAATGGCAAAGCCCTTCCCACCACACCTTAGCTGCTCGCCCCCAAATCTTGGTAACATAAGGATGGCCCTATTCATAGGGAGCCTGTAGAAGGCCCAGTGTGCTCCCAGGAGTCCTCCCTGTGTCACCTCCTTTAATCCTCACAGTAGTTGAGGGAGATGAGAACTGTCCCCATTTCAAATATACGGAGAATGAGGCTCAGAGAAGTGGAACAACTGGTCCGAGGCCACCTGGTCAGTCAGGGGCAGAGGTGGGGTTGGAATTCTGGAGCAAGCCCGCCTCGGTCCAAATCCTGGCTCTGCCTCCTCACCGCTGTGTGCCTCAGTTTCCTCACCTGTACGGGAATGAGGAGCGTACCAAACGCTGCACAGTTGTCATTAAATGAGGATTAAATGAATTAAATCATGAAACAGTGCCCGGCACACAATAAGTACTCAATAAATATTAGTTACAGATGAATTTTTAAGGCCGAGAGAGATGTGAACAGGCATGCCTGTATTGGAGTGGAGGAGGGTAACAGTACAAGACCATGTCCCAGCTGCATGTGCTGTTTTGAGCAGTTGTCAATGTATAAACAGCCTACGGATCAGGGCAACTTGGGGTGCCTGTGCAGACACGAATGTCCAGTTGTGGAGGTTTGTGTGTGAAAAGACTTCTGCTGCCCGTCCATGTCGGCGTGTGTCTGTGTGTTCCCATGTTCACTCGTATGTTGTCTGTGCCGAGGGTTTTTCCATGTGTCACATGGAAACCCATGTGTCACGAGGGTTGCATGTGTCACAGGCAACATTCAGGTGAGGATCGGCTCCTGATATTTGTCACTTTTGCTCCACCTCCTCTCCTGGGAGTGACACTGATACTATCCTTTAAGTTGACTCCTTTTACAAGTAAATGTGTGTTTATGCATAAAGCAGTTAAAATACATTTTAAAATAAAGGTATTCTAAATTGAACCCTGAAAAATCAGTGTTATTGGCTAGAAGGTAATAAAAATACCCATAACTTTGAAAAAGAAATGCACCTCAAGGGCCTCCACAATCAGTTGGTGCTCCAGCCCTGGAAATTACTGGGGTGGCAGCCATGTATTGGGGTGGGGTGTCTGTGTGTTGTTGCATGCATTTGTTAGAATGTCTTTGTCTCTGTGGGAGTGAGCCTTTGTATGTGGGGGGGGGGTCTGGGTATGTCCCTGAGGGGAGAGGGTCTATGTCTGGGCACACACAGGTGTCTGCTGTGGTGTGGGCAGAGGTCTGGTCACGATGCCAGTGTTTGCAGAGCCCATGGGGTCCTAGCAGGTCGGCCTTATCACAGCCTGGCCCAAGCCCATGCCACAGAGGAAGGAGGACCCTCCCTTGCCTTGGCTTGGGTGACAGGGCCGTCCCCTTGTTCCTCACTGTCAGCCTTAATCCCATCACCCATCATTTCCCCAGCTCTGGAACAATAGCAGCCTTGAGACAGGCCTGGCAGACATAGACGCCGGGGTGATCCACGGGTGGCTGAGGCCCAACACCAGGCATATCCGAAACGCCCTCCTTATTCCCCAAGTCCTGCCCTTGGGTGTTCACACAGCACACTAACGGCCACATAAAGCCTCCTCGCCACCCTCCCCAGGCTCCGTGCTCAGGTGGGGAAACCAAGGCACAAAGCTGTGAGAGTCAGGAAGTCTGGGTTCTCACCTTGGCGCAACCAAAGTCACACTGTGTGGCCTTGGACAAACCACGGTTCCTCCCTGAACTTCAGTTTTCCTATCTGTAAAATGAGAGAGGGGTGGGATGCTCTGACCTGTAGTCTGATTTCAACATCCTTTGAGTGTCAGTTACCCCAGACTTACCCTGGGTAGAACACGGGGGCTGGGCTGGCAAGAGAAGCCCTATACCATGACCCTACCCCCTGGGGAGGCAATAATGGAGGTTCTGTGCCTGTGGGCACTGCTCACCTTCCAAGAGTCTCCCCACCCTGGATGAGGAAGTGGCAGATCTGAGAAGGCACACGCATGTGTGAAGCCAGTACTTGAACCCTGCCTGACTGAGCCCAGGTCTCCTCCTTGCTCTCTCACACCACACTCAACAGGAGGGTGCGTTATCCTCCTTTAAAGAAATCAAGGTCCAGACAGGGTGTGCGACTGGCTCAAGGTCACAGAGCGAGAAGGGAGCAGAGCCAGGTCTTTGATCCCAGGCCCACAGCTATCGAGTCTGAGGGGCCTGCCAGGCAGCCCACACCTGGGAAGATAAAGACGACTCAGCGTTCCTGGCATCTGTGTCCACACCACCCACCACCCACCCTTCTGCCTTCCCAGCCCCCTCTCAGTGTAAGTACCTCTGGGAAGGCCTTCCATGGATCTGGCTGAAGTTCTCTGAATTTTGTTGAATTTCTGGCTGAATTTCTTGTCTGAATTTCTCTGGCACCTGTGGCACCCCTCCCTTGATGCCCAAAAGTCCATTGCCAAGGTGCCTGACCTCACAGTCAGACCAGTCAGGGGAAGGTGGGCACGTTTAATATCAACCCATTTTGCAGATGAGGAAACTGCAGCTCGGTGAGGTAGGTCGCTAGATAGTGAGTAACAGAGTCGGGGTTTAAACCCAGGAATTCCAGCTCCAGAGCCTTCACTCTAGCAGTTAAAGCTCAGAGATATTTCTCCTCATTGAGTCCCTCCCCAGCTCTAATCGCTTCTTTGGCTCCCCAGCACCGTCAATAAGGCTCTCAAAAGGGCTGCACATCAGATCGCCCTGGAGGCTTATTAAATATGGCAGTTCCCAGGCCCTCTGTCCTTGGCCTGTTGAGTCAGGGTTGCAAAGATGTGTCTTTTATGATTCCTTCTCATGGGCAGGCCCAATCCCTGACTTGGCTTTCGTGCCTGAAGGGGCTCGCAGGTGCCTGGGGAGCTGGTAAGGGCGAGAGTCTCCTCTGGGGTGGGGTCTGGAAGGAATTGGGGAAGATAAAGCAGGCCAGAAGCTAGGTGGCATCTTCCTCCCTTTCAAGAGTCTGGGCTGGGCAGTGGTTAAGATAACGACTCAGACGACCCGGCTGGACTCCTGTGTGACCTTGGACCAGCGGCTTCCCCTTGCAGAGTTGTAGCTCCTTGACTGTGAGACGGGGAGATAATAACAGTGCTGACTTCACGGGCCATTGTGGCGACTATACGGAGCCACATAAGTCAGTGCCTTGTAGACAGTTACTGCTCAATAAATGCTAAGTGCTAGCTTCCTCCCTCAAACAAATGCCTAAAAACACTGGTGATACCCAGTGCTGGTGGGATGTGGAGCAGTAGCGACTTTCCCAGGCTGCTGGTGGAGTCCCAGTGGCAGGGCCACTTTGGAGAGCCCTGGCAATATCTGGGAAAGCCGAAATTGTGCACACAGTACTATGATCCAGCAAACCGTGTTCCTGGCTAGTTACCCCAGCCAAGTGAAAAAGAAAACATGTGTACATAGGAAGACATGACAAGAACTTTCATAGCAGCTTTCTTCTTTTTTAAGTTAAAGTGTATTGGGGTGACAGTTAGTAAAGTTACATAGGTTTCAGGATCTAATGTATGGGGATGGAAGCAGAACTGACTCTGGGTGGTGAACACACAATGTGGTATACAGATGACGTGTAGCAGTTTTCTTCTTAGGAACCAACAACTAGAAAGCCCAGGTGCCCCTAGACAAGAGAATGGAGAACAGACTGCGGTGTGCTCACGTGATGGAGTGGTATACAGCAAAGAAGAGCATGCCGTTGCCTCACTCACATGAGTGAATTTCATAGACATTGAGTGTGAGCTAAGCTGCACACAGAAGACGCCACACGCACCATTCCAACTCCATGACCCACAAGCGCATACGGGGCTCACCCATTGTGTGGAGGTCAGCACGGTGGTTACCCTTGGTGGGCAACGACTTGGAGGGGACACCAGGGGGCTTCTAGAGTACGTGCCTTTTGCAAATTCATCAAGCTGTACACTTATAAACTGGGGCCCTTCTCTATATGGGCTTTCTATTTCAACAAAAAGTTTATTTTTGAAAAAGTATGGTGTGGTTTAGTAACCTGATTCAGTTTCTAAAGTCATCAAGATGAATTTTGCATCCTTTGGGGCTCTGAGGTTATGAGGTGAATGAGACAAATATCATCCTTCCTTCCCATCTCATCAGGCAGGGGCTGAGGGTCCCGTGCAGGAGACAGACCCACAAACATGCAGACACACGGTTACAGGCCAGCATGTCACAGACTCTGGGAGAGGAAATCCCAGGGGACTGTGGGATCATAGCCAGCTTGGGGGCCAGGAGGGCTTCCTGGAGGAAACAGTACCTGCAGAAGAATTGCAAATAAAAGCCAAAGTCTGTAAGTCTGTATGGCAACCTGAGGGGCTTGTCACTTCCTTGGCCCTATGCCCCCTCCCTCCCCTCCACCACATAGGCCTCCCTGGGGTTCCTAGACACAATGCCTCAGGGCCTTTGCACTTGCCCTTCCCTTTGCCTGACCTGTTCTTCCCCAGTATCCACCTGGCCCACTCTCCCTCCTCCTGCTCCAGTACGAGGTCTTTCCTGACCACCAGATTGAGAACTGCACCCCCTCCTCAGCTTTATTCCTGTCATCAGCCTCTGACGTACAGTATCATGTGCTTATCTGTTCCCTCCAGCTGTGCTGACCAATATGATGGCCATCTGAGGTGACTGAGTCCTTGAAATGTGGCAAGTCCAAATTTGCTCC